GCTATTATTTCTTTAAATTCTCTCCCCCCTGTTAACATTATAGAACTGAGTCTAACAAATAGTCAAGTGAGAGATATTTAACTAAATGACAATTTGCTCCTGAAACTAGCATATGGCTTTTCTCTTAAATGTTCAGTATAAAAATCACTTACTATTTTTCTTCATAGAATTTATGTTTTTAATGCACACTTTTTAGACTGTGAAGTAAAAGAGCAGTATTGTATAAGTATTGTTCAACTCTTGTTGGGCACAGATGCACTGATATATCATCAGTGGGAAAGACTGAATGTATATTTAGCAAGCTTATTGATAATTTTATTGTTTCCCTCAAGACTTAATTACATAGAATAAGACCACACAATCAAAATTAGATAAAATATTAACATAAACATCTTGTTAATATAATTAGCAATTAGCAGCTTCTGTTATCCATGTTCAGATATGAATTGTGATAAGTTATGTGGGAGATATGTTGTATAGAATGTCTCATTGCTTAGGGTTCTATTTTAAAGTTTTTTTTAAAGAGATACCATCCTTGTCAGCCTTTTGAGGTAGATGAGGAAAAATTTTCTACAGGAAGACCAGATTTATAATGTACTTTACAAACTGAAGAGAATACCCTACTTAACTTCTTGCACCTAATGTAAAAATTGTCATAATCAAGATCTTTCAGAGTCTGATTAAGACATTGTGTGAATTACTTCATCTATAATTTCAGAAATTAACTTCCAGTATGAATAATTATTTCCCATTTTGATCTTCCCTTTTAATTAAAATAAATGCATAAGTCTGAAATGCATGTATTATATATCTGAAGAAGTTTTATTATTGCAATTGGTTACGATAGCATATGGGTACAACATTATTTCTTTATCCATTAATTAGTTAATCAATTAGTTCTTTTATCCCGAAAGCAGAATACAAGAGTCACAATTTAATTCTCCATTTAGTACCAAGTTTACATCATAAAACAAACTGTCCATTTAAGTGAAATGAGAAGTTCACATTTTTAAAATATTATTTATTGCTTTATCATAAAAAATAAAATACAAAACAGTAAAACAAACAAAATGAAACAAAGAAAAGCAGACATTCAACCTTAACAACAACAAAAAAGAAAAAAAGTGTACAAAAAAGGAAAAAGTGATTAATTGAATTTAATATTTAACATATAGGATCCACCATGGCTGGGTCTGAAAGAAAAGAAAAAGCAGTAAATTCCCTCCCCTTTTACACACACACACACACACACACACACACACACACACACACACGTATGTATGAATGTGCGTAGGAAGTCCACAATCAGTTAATTTTGCCATCTCTGTTAATTCAGTGAATTTCAAAATCCATTCTTCAACAGTCAGAGTTCCTTTTTCTTTTCAATATTTGATAAATACAATCCTCATAGCTGTCACCATGTGAAGGACTAGCACTCCAAATTGTTTGTCAATTGGCTTGTCCATCATGTCTAAAATAAAAGCTTCAAGCTTCATTAATATATATATCTTAAATATTTTTATATTATCATTATTATGTTTATTCAATATGTTTGCAAGACCACCACACATGATAAAATGAACGTGGATTTTGACTACAGTTCCAGCATATATTAGAAATCCCTTTATACATTTTCACTAGTCTATCTGGTGTCAAGTACCAATGGTACATCATTTCATAATTCTTTTCTTTCAAACTATAATTTAATGGAATTTTTAGTCCATTCCTCCATACATTCACCCATTTATCTAGCATTATGTTATACCATTTTTTTGTCCATTTTACCATATACTCTTTAACATATTCATCTTCTAGTTCAGTGGTTCTCAACCTTCCTAATGCTGCGACCCTTTAATACAGTTCCTCATGTTGTGGTGACCCCCAACTCCCCATCCAGCTGGCCGGGGAGGGGGGCAGGAAGGCCATTCCACTGGCTCCGCCCAGCCTGGTTGGAGAAGCACCATTCCTCTCCCTCTTTCTCTCTTTCTCTCTCTCTTTCCTCTCTCTCTCTTTCCTCTCTTTCTCTTTCTCTTTCCTCTCTCTCTCTTCTCTCTCTTTCCTCTTTCTCTTTCTCTCTCTCTTTCCTCCCTTTTTCTCTTTCTCTCTTTCCTCTCTCTTGGATGGAGCCACGGTAGGGGCTGGTGGCGTGCGGCCCCTGCCAGCCCCTCTGCCAGCCCAGCTGCTCCTCCCAGGCACTCCTTTTGCCCCGGCGCCTGCCCGAGCCACCTTGGGGGCAGCAGGAGGAAGGAGAGGAGAAGGGCAAGAAAACCGCTGCTGCCGCCCCAACTGGGACTCCGCGCTGCCCGGCCTCACCCTCCACCCATCCAATGGAGCCACGGTGGGAGCTGGTGCCGCGTGGCCTCTGCCAACCCCTCTGCCAGCCCGGCTGCTCCCTCCCAGGCATCCCTTTTGCCCCAGTGCACGCCCGAGCTGCCTTGGGGGCAGTAGGAGGAAGAAGGAGAGGAGGAAGTTTTATTCTTATTCACCTTGAAACCAGAGACCTGTCCATACTGCGCTAAAATTTCAACCAATTCATTAACCGAATCTATTGGATAAGATAATGTCACCACCAAATCATCAGCAAAAGCTTTCAACCTATAATCAATCTTATTTATTTTTATGCCTTTTAATCTAGAGGATTCTTGAATTTTAATAAGTAAGATTTCCATAGTTAATACAAATAACAAAGGGGATAAAGGACAAACTTGCCTTTTTCTATTTTAAATTGCTCTGTTAATCCCCCATTAATTATAATTTGTGCTGATTGTTGCTGATATACAGCTTTAAGAGCACACAAGAATTTATCTCCAAAATTCATTTCCTCTACCACTTTCAATAAAAATTTCCAATCTAATTGATCAAAAACTTTCTCCGCATCTATAAATATTAAGGCAGCATACATAACGTAACCTGAAAGAAGACACCAGCATAATAATCTTACCAGCAGACAAGGGCAATGCCACAGTGGTTATGAACACATCTGACTACCAAACCAAATTAACCAACCTACTCCAAGACTCTACATACAAACCCCTAAACACAGATCCCACCACCTATCTGGAAAAAAGCACCAGATCCAAAATAAAAGCCTCCCCCATTAGCGAAGAGATCCAGCAAAGAATCATTCCCAGAGAGAAATCATCCAGATGCCCTAAGCTCTATGGTCTCCCCAAGATACACAAAGAAGGAACCCCACTTAGACCCATAGTCAGCTCCATAGGCTCACCTCCACGAACGCGAAGCCAAAAAATAGCAATGCAGTTCACCATTTTAACCCCCCCTGCAACTCAGACTAACCTGAGCACAACAAAGCCCCCACCCAAACAGAACACTCCCCCAGCCAATCAGAGCACAGCCACCCCCCCAGCCAATCAGAGCACAGCCAACCCCCCAGCCAATCAGAGCACAGCCAAGCTCCTAACCAATCAAAACACAGCCAAGCTCTCATCCAATCAGTTCATACCCCCACTGGCAGTTAAAAGGAGGAAACAGCTACAATCACACATTACTCCTAGAAGCACGAAGCCGAAAGCACCAGCCTGAAGATGACGAATGAGACTTCGTCGAAATGTCGCCAAGACACTTCCAATTTTACGTGGGAGAAAACCCGAATAACCAAAGACCTACATACAAACACCTGCGAAAACCTCAGAATACATATATATCCAATTTGCAATAGTGGCAAATATCTGTAGCTCAGGTATAGGATGAAGGTGAAGGTTCATTCTCTGAGCTTCTGGGTTAGTTTTTGAATGTTTCGTTACCAGGTTAGATAACATCTTCAGGGGCATTTAGGAGAGGTCTTTGTCAGTGTTCTTCTATTTATAAGGGCTTCAGATATGGGTGTATCAAGTGAGGGTCTTGTGTGAATCATCAGTGAGAGGCTTGTGATGGGGAGGTTACTTCAGGTCAGGGTCATTGGAAGGTGAACTGCTGAGGGGGGGAGAGGGGGCTTGTGTGGGTTGGTTGTGGGTTGGTGCTGTCTCCTGTCTCCTGTTGCACCAATCTACAACAAACCCACACAAGCACCCTCTCCTCCCCCCTCAGCAGTTCCAATGATCCTGACCTGATGTAATCTCCCCTGAGGGACTGTCGTTTTCTAAATCTCTACTGATCCAATTCAATCCAGCAGATTTGGCATGCTGCAGATCCCATCAGCCAAAGAGTGTCAGCTGGTGGGGACTAGACAATGGACCTTTTCTGCAGTGGCCCCTGTTCTGTGGGGTATCCTCCCCTCAGAGGTTACAATGACCACAACCTTGTTGCCTTTGATAAGGCTTAAAAAGGTTGCTGTGTTCCTGAGTTCTGAGTACTGAATTTGTTAAGGGAATCTATTTCTTATTATTTAACTCTTTCCTAGTACAGTTTCATGAGTAAATCTGTGGTAAATTTTCAGACAAATGTCACAATCATAGATACCATTTTCTTGTTTGTTTCCTTGTTAGGGACTAACAACAAGTTTTCTGTTTTTAATAAATACAAATAATTTATTAATAGCATTTCTCCCCAAAATTCTATATAAGCCCAGAGAAAATAAATTTTACATTTCCTAATGAAAACAATGATGGCAAAATTGGGCAGCCTTTTAAAAAGCAGCAGAAGTTACACAGAGACTAATTCTAGTGCTGCTGATGTCTGATTAAACTGTAATGAACATTGAAAATACAGACATTTATTCAATCCTGGATGATTCTAATGTTCACTGAACTTCTGTGCACCTATGTACGTATATACTCAAAAAAATAAAGGGAACACAAACGTATAGGATCCTATACGTTTGTGTTCCCTTTATTTTTTTGAGCAGTATATTTCCTTACAATGTAGGCAAACAAAATGACCTTGGCAATTAAGTTGAAGAATTACATCAGCCTCATCTAAACTACTTTGTGTGATAATTCCCTTCTGCACAAATGCCATTAGCATTGCCTCATTATGCATTGTGGGAGTTATTTTGAAATGTTGAGGTCTATGTGGTCTCATGAAATTTGTGGCATGATAACATAGATGACAGTTCTGTATTTATTTACTTAGGCTCATGTGTTGTTCCATCAAACCAACTCTGATATAGACATCAAAGAGTAACCTTAGAGTACAAATTCTGAAGATGGTGTGTTAACAGTTAGAAAACCCAAACCTTTTCTGCTTTTTTGGCTTTAACTATGGTCTATTAGTGTGAGGGTACTTGGAGAAATAAGAGAAAATCTCTGGATGTCAAGGTCAGCCATATAGCCATCACATGGCTCTATCATTCATTGCTGTTCAAAGCCAGGTTTCCTAAGTATACATTATAGAGTACATTGAATCTGCACTAAGAAATGTGTTGAGTGAAGGCTAAAGGGGAGCATGTAAAGAAACATGGAGCATGCAAGAAAACTAAAAATAAATCTATCACTTTTTATGCATCAATGTGATTTAGTTTAGGGAAGAATAAAAATACAACTATTCAAGTTACAGCTTTTCTTTTTCTTTTAAAACTTTCTAATCTTTCATTTTATTGTTTTGGATATTTTTAAAAGTGCCATTTTCCCCCAATAACATATATTTTTGATACATATGCTTGTAAAAGCATACTTACAATCCTCTGCTATTTTAAATCTTACTTGCATTAGGCTGTTGAATTTGTTTTGCCAGTTCTTATGTGGCAGTCATTTACAGAAGTCTGAGAAAAACAGTTTTTTTCTCAGGGAGATCAGAGATTTGCTTAAATTTGCATTGTTAAAATTCTTGTGAAGATGGCACTTAAAGTGATGTGCAACTAAACATTGGACACATATAACATTTACATGATCTGCTCTTCTTGTCCACCTGAGCAAAGAAAATATGGGGGGGGGTGTTAGATGAAAATTTGGGAGATCAGTGAATTCTCACACAAAATGGAGTAAAAGAAAAGGTAAGATTAGTGTGGGTTTATGGAATTATACTGAATTTCTTTTAAAAAATACATTAATTTCAGTATGGTGTAAGCCATTTTATAGTTATATCTTACCAAAGCATTATACTAGAAAAATGTTCAGAGAGAATAAAAAGCTTTTATTGTTCCTTTTAAGTGAAATTAGACTTTCCAACGTGAAAGAAATCTGTATATAATTTGGTTTTCATTTTTCTACAGGGAATGGCATAATGTCATGTCTAACACTACAAGCATACATAATTTTGTACTTGCTGGATTTTCTGGAAATCAAGAGGCTCAAATTTTACACAGCACTATCTTCTTATTAATGTATCTCTTTGTCCTGGTGGGAAATCTTCTGATTATTTTTTTGATACTGTTCAATTGTTATCTGCATACCCCAATGTATTTCTTTTTAATCAATTTAGCTATTGGTGATCTTGGTGTCACATCTGCTATTATACCCAAATCTATAGTTAATACCTTCATGAATTCTAAATTGATTTTGTATTTTGAATGTATGACACAATTATTTTTCTATGTTTCTTTCCTATCATCAAATTTATTCTTTCTTACTATCATGGCCTATGACAGATACATTGCCATTTGTCACCCATTGCATTTTGCATCCATAATGAAGTGGTCCACTTGTTTCCAAATGGCGGGAGGGGCCTGGGTGATTGGATTTCTGCATGCAGCTCTACACACAGGGAATATTTTTTCTATGCCTTTCTGTTCCAATATTATTAATCAGTTCTTCTGTGAAGTTCCACAATTAATCAAGCTATTTTGTTCTGATTCTTATCTCGATGAAACCTGGGTTCTTGTCTTTAGTTCATGCTTAGGAGTTGGCTGCCTCTCATTCATTTTGTTAACCTATGTGCAAATCTTTACTACTGTGATGAGCATGCCCTCAGTTGAGAAAAAGGAAAAGGCCTTCTCCACTTGCATCCCCCACCTTATTGTGGTTTCCCTATTCATTGGTAGTAGCCTCTTGGCTCACCTGATACTACCTGCTAATTCTCCATCGAGACTGGATCAAGTATTTACCACACTATATACTATAGTGCCTTCACTCATGAATCCAATAATCTACAGCATGAGGAACAAAGATGTAAAAGCTGCCTTTCTGAAATTGCTTGGCTGAAGATTATTTAGCAAACAATATTAATTCCCCTTTGATGCACCAATTTGTCTGTCATGTTAATTTTGAAATTCAGCATAAGATAACTGATTAGGCATTTCCCACTGAATGTATATTTTGGTTTATTTGATATATTATAAATAATGGTCTGCTGCATCTGCCAAAGTAAAATGTTTTACAATATTGAGCCTCTTATGGCTTCAATTCTGTTGGGATTATGAAGATATCTTTCAGTAAATTATTTTCATTGGTTATAGTTTTATAGGTGACTTCCTAAAGTCATTTTGGAAAATGAAATTGTAATCAGGAACAAATTAATGTAACTAAATAATGTTTAAGGAAAATGGGTTTTAAATCAGACATCTGATTTTAACTTTTTATGTTTTAACTATATATGTAGCTGTAAACCTCCCAGAGTTACCCTATGGTAAAATGGGTGACCAATAAATGTTATAAATAAATGTTATGTAGGGCAATCAAAAAATAATCAGTTACTTTATGGGATAGTTGTGTGCAAAAGATACTTGAGACTAGTGATGTGGAAAAAGGTTTCTGACTTAACTAAAGATTGGCAAAGATTTATATTTGTTTTAAGTATATGTATATAGTCAGAGATAGCTACCAATATGTACAAGTTTCCTAAGTGATTTCAGCTCTTGATATCAAAATTGAGCTTTCTTCTTATCACTTTTTTGCTATTTTTTATAGGTGATTTGTGCCCTTCTAGAAATAGTAACTTAGTTTTCCTATCAGGGCAGCAGTTTCTGTGGCATATGATGGGATATCAACAAGCAAGAAATTGCCTTGCAATGCAAGTTGTGGCTTGCATCATGACACCATTTCTGCCATATTGCTTTTTTTTTTTAAACCTCTCCCTGTGAACATGCTGAATCAAGGTAATGATTTTGTCACAACCATGAACACTACCAAATTATCAAGATAATTGTTTTTATGTATTACTAATACAGGCAGAGTTTATATTGCTGCAGTAATGGTATGCATATGCCATACTATAAAACTGCTAGTATAAAAATCTGATGCTCAGTCTTAAAGCTGAGACTTTTATCAAATAGTTACAAATGTTGTTTTTCTTTCAGAAATAAATAAATATCACAGTCATAATTGTCCTTTATAGTTGTAATACATGCATATGTTAAGGACTATAAAATAATTGCTTGACTGAGACAGAAGAGGCACTGTTTTTACTATGCACAGCTATATTTATGGGAATTAGTGAAAAAGCAGAATTGTTTATAGCAGAATATCCAACTTTCCTGTCTAACTTTTACTCTTTTCCAGAGCTATTTGTTGGCAACTACCTGCTTTCCTCTCTTTCCCCTCTTTTTTTCCATCTCTGCTTATTACTGAGAATGATAGGAAGGCTTAGATTTCTTTGTGTATGCCTAAAATCTTTTTTCAACTCTTTTTAGACTTGGTCAGCTGCCCTTCTAGGTAGATGTGGTGTGATGTATCTTTCTCTGTGTCTAAGTACTATTCAGTGCATGTCTTCCCTGAAGGCCCCATGCCTCAGACTTCAGGGAACTCCCTTCCTCTATTCATATATGCTTTGGGTTTGGGGTGAAATATGCCCCTATTTCTAAGTTTTCACTTATTTTCTCCTGGAAAAGCCTGAAGCTGACATCTTCATCTTCTTTGCCCACTGCCATCAGGAATGAACACTTCCACATCCCAATGGCCCAGCACATTCACAGTGATGTCTCTTTCCAATTACCAAATTCCCACAATCAATCCAAAGACCTTTACTACTTTGATGTCTCAAAACAGCTTGGAATAAATATGGCAATCTCTCTTTGTCTTTTATCTATTTATTTCTGCTTTTATGGCTTAAACCAACAGCATGTCCACCAGCAACTGAGGAAAGGAGTTTTCTCTCAAGCCTTTAAGCCTAAGCCCCTGCATGGAAGGTTTGACCAGTCAAAATGCTAACTCCAGTTTCCTCCACAACAGTCCTTGCTAGTCACCAAATCATCTCTCCTGTCTTGTCTCATCTGCCCACTGAGATCACAGCTAGATCACAAGCCCATGCCTGAACCCATTTTTAAACATTTTGTTTTCATTTAACCCACTCAGCAGCCTGGCAACAAAACCTATATCTACAATAAGGAAAGATCTTTTTATTTCTACTGAAATTGTATTAATTTCCAGTAAGGCATTGTTGTAGCATTCTTCTGGATTTGGGCAGAAGTTGAGGCACATGCAGACCATTTGTTCATGTGTCACAGTAAGAAAAAGCATCAAATTTCACTGTGTTGCCATTGGACAGTTTCCAGCAATGGTTTGTATGATCTGCAAGGGGGGGGGGAGATCAAATATTCTAATAAATAGAGAACAATGTCAGGTCTTGGGCATTTAGCAATACTAGAGAAGTGCTTCACTCCAAAAACAATAACACATTTTCTCCCAAAAGAAGCATAACATATAACATTAGTTGGGTTCTTGTTGTTCATGCAGCATCATTATTTCTACTAGATGTTTCATTATTCAGCTATGTAATACTGACAATGAATGAGAGATTGGAGATTGCTGGCTATCATATACTATGAACTTCACCAAGATTTTTTTTTTTGTGTGTGTGTGTGTTGGGGATATTTATGAAATAAATGGAAATATTTGGAAAAGGCAAATGGTACTCCCATTAGCTGTAATAATAAAAACTCTAAGGCATCCATTGTGAAGTTAGTTTCTTTTATTATTTAAACTGCATTATTATGAAATTATTAGAGATAAAACATGATTTTTCTTTATATCAATTATTTTAATGATTTTGTATGGGTCTTAATTCAGCTATAAAAACTTCCAACTATAACTTGCTTTTCCCAAGAGCTTTCCAAAGAGAACCTGGACTTCCTTATTTCTTAAACTATAGATCAGGGGGTTGAGCAGTGGTGTAATGATGGCATATAGTACTGAAATGAGGGAGTCTTCTTCTATAGAGTGAGCAGATGAAGGACGTACGTAGGTGTAGATGATGGTGCCATAAAATATGCTCACTACAGTGAGATGTGATCCACAGGTAGAAAATGATTTTATCCTGCCATGAGTAATGCAGATTTTGAGAACAGAGGAGACAATGAATATATAGGAAAGAAGGATCAGGCTGAATGACACAATCATAATGCCCCCAGATATGGTGAAAATCACCATCTGGCTGATAAAGATGTCAGAGCAAGATAAGCGTAGTAAGGGAGGAATGTCACAGAAAAAGTGTTTGATTTCATTGGAGTGGCAGAAATGTAAGGAAAAGACCATGGCTATAGTAATAGTGGAATTCAAGAGGCCAATACTCCAGGAGGCTGCCAACAAATGCTGACTTATTGTTCGGTTGACTAGAACAGTGTAGTGCAAGGGGTGGCAGATAGCTACATAACGATCATATGCCATGGTTGAGAGAAGTACACATTCTGTGGCCCCTAAAGCGCCAAAAAAATACAATTGTAATGCACAACCTATGTAGGAGATGGTTTTGTCCCCTGACAAGAGATCCCACAGCATTTTGGGAAGTGGAAATGTAGCAGATCTCAACAAAAGAAAGATTGCCAAGTAGCAAGTACATAGGAGTTTGGAGATGCTGATCTATCCTAATCAGTGTAATAATGGTTAGATTCCCAGTTAAAGTAAACAAATAGAGAAACAGACCTATGACAAAGAGAAGAGTCTGGTTGTTTGGGTCAATAGAGAAAAGAAATTAAAAGAAATTCTGTGACACTTATCTGGTTCTGATTTTCTGTCTGCTTGATGTCCATCTTTTATTAGATTATTTCATCTTCTTGGGCTTGAAGAGTTCTCATCTATTTTACCAACCAATGCTGATACTACCCAGAAGTGATAGTGGTAAAAAAAATCTGTCAATTAATAGTTAATTTGTAAATCAGTTTTGTGCATTACTTCTTGTCATCAGAGCAGCTTCACATTTAAGCAGCAGATCTAGATCAGAATAAAAAATCAGCTGTATTGAGCTGGCAGGCCACTGGCCAATTTGCACCAGAACATTAAAACCTCCTGCTTTGGGGGTTTCTTGCCAAGAATGTTGAACCTTAAGCTGATCAAGAAAAATGTTCCTGTTCCAATTCCCAATTACTAACACAAGCACCATTAAACCCTAGATAATTTGAAGTAAGGATTGGGAACCTATTAATTTCAGTTTCTTTCAATTTGTCAATTTTGTAGGTATGTCACAATTGATTCAATGAATCTGAGTGTTTTACTCTACATTAAAATTTGAAAGCGTTTAGTACTTATTTCTGTTTCGTTTATTTGTAAATTTGTAACCCGTGCACTCTTTAAAAGCGTTCCTCTATTTTAACTCTATTTTCAGTAATGTCTAAAAAGCTAATAGAGGGGAACCTAACTTCATATCAGGGACAAGGATATTCCAAAGGGCAGGTACAGCAATAGAAAAGCAGTGCCCATAAACTTCCATCATTCTTACTTCTTAAAAGTGAGAAACTACTGGCAGATTCTTCAGGAACCTAAATGTCAGGCAGGGGGATATGAAATATTTAATCTAATTATATAAACACACAGTCTTCTCAACATCTTGTTGTTGTTAATTGCGAAGTCGTGTCCGACCCGTCGCGACCCCATGGACAATGTCCCTCCAGGTCTTCCTGTCCTCTACCATCTTCTGGAGTCCATTTAAATTCACACCTACTGCTTCAGTGACTCCATCCAGCCACGACAAGGCAGTAATCCATAAAGGGGCTCAACATCTTAGTGTCATACAATAATTCTAGAAAGTCTCAGAAATAGAAAACAGAGCTAGAACAATTTCCCCTCTTTAGTTTAGTTTAACAGAATATAAAGGACCTTGGAAATCTTCTAGTCCAACTCCTGCTCAAGCAGGAAACCTTATACCATTTCAGGCAAATGATTATCCAATCTCTTCTTAAAAAACTCCAATACTGGAACACCCATAACTTCTGGAGGCAAGTTGTTCCACTGATTAATTGTTCTAACTGTCAGAAATTTCTCCTTAGTTCTAGGTTGGTTCTCTCCTTGATTAGTTTCAATCCATTCCTTCTTGTCCTGCCTTCGAGTACTTTGGACAATCTCATAATTTCTGTCATGAAAATAGAAATGTTTACCATGATAAATATTTGGATCAGATAAATGGGATCTATCTACCCTTGTGATCCAGATCTCAGGGCTTGAAAAACTAAGGCTACTCTGAAAAGGATTGCATCATAAAGGGATAAAATGCAACAATTTCACCTGCCTACTTCTGTTCCATTAAACATTATAATTCCCTGGTAACTTTTTGAAGCAGCTCTGGGACAGAAGAAAAGACTTTTGGAGGAGCTGGTTGTAATGCTTTCAGTAAGGGAGACCAGGATCAAAGTTTAGGCTACATTATAGTGTAAACACAAAGATAATATATATATATATGAAATTGTTAGGTTTTTGTTGAAAACCAACAGAAGTAGGTTAGAGCAAATGCAAGAAGAAATAATATGAGAGACAAAAATGATTTCCAGTATTGGCACTGACTAGAATGATCATTATGCATCTTGAAAATTGGCTTCAGAGCCATAGAGGGCTACAGTGGAAATTGGTCCACTGAATCCCCATTGAAAGGTAGATTTAGAAAAAAAAATTGGAAATTTCCATCCAGAACAAGAACCTCAATGTTTCCCTTAATAAAAGAAGTACCTGCAGCACAGACATTTTGCATTAGAAAGACACACAAATGCACAAAGTATGTGATCAGATTCCAAGATCTGAATTTATTTTGCAGATCCAGCATCTTAATTAATGAATTCTTAAATATAATAGTAGATAATGTGTGTAGCTCAGGGTTGAAGTATTGGTTTGTTGCGATTAAGTAATACTTGAAATGAATCTTTCTCAATTTCGTCTTGCCTTAGTGTGCAGATTT